GAAGTAAATGTTTAGAAAATGATGATGGCAACATATGTACAAATATGTCTGATACACTGGATGTATGGAATGTTATGAGAGCTGTAAGAGCCCCCAATAAAATAATTTAAAATCAAATTTTAAAAAAGAATATAAGATTCTATTGTGATGCGATGTAAGAGCCCCCAATAAAAGTCTTTTAAAAAGAATCTAAGATTCACAGAAGAGCACATATCTTTCTTCTTGGCATGTGGAGCAACCAAGTGCAACTCATAACCGCCTAGAGGGCAGGCTTTCTGAGATTTTAAGTCCTTACCCAAGTAGACGGCCATCCTCATCTTCTCCCTCAGTCAACCAGTGGGTTTGAACTGCTGACCTTTCAGTTAGCTCAGTGCAGCGCCCACTACAGACTATGAGTCAGAATTGACCCCAAGGGCAGTGAGGAACCAGGTGGTCCGAGGCGTAATGTCTACATTGTAGAAAGTCAATGGCTCCCAAGGTCCTCTCTGGCTCAGGTAACCAAGACTCCCTCTCTTAGAGACGCCAGCAGGGGATGCTGAGATGCCACCTTGATGCTAATGTAAATGATGTGCTCATAATTTGAAATTCCAAGTGTTCGTTGCTGCTAATCCATTGTACAACCCAAAGATTCCTAATTAGATAGTGTGCACTCATCTTGTATTTCACAACTATGCCGTAACTGCTTAATAATTTCATGAGTTTTTGCCGATTCCTTGGCATTTTCTTCTTCCATCCCAACCTGTATACCTTTTATTTCTTTCTTGTCTTACTACATTAGGAATTTTCAGTGTGATGTTACATACAGGGGGGCTTCAAAAAGTTCGTGGAAAAACTCCCTCTTGTCATGCCATTTTCCAGTGTCTTATCAGTTATTAACTGACTCTTGTCCAGATGATTCTGACCTGGACATCATGACCCCAGAGGATGGAGAACTACCCTATAGAATGTCCAAAGGAGCTGTAGGCATGGACTGAACGTGGCCCTGCTAGCCATAATCCCTTTTGTGGTACATTGTAAATTCTGGCTTCCATGCCTGTGGTTATAATCCCATTTAGAGAGCATTCTGTTGCAGGATTAAGTTGGGATGTACTCTACCTTAATAGAGGGCGTGACTCAAGTCACTACATTTTGTCTCCTTGGGGGTCTGCTGAAAGATAAAAAACACTCCTTGGTGACAGCCGTTCCCCTAAGGGGCATCTCAGAACCCCAGGACCAGAAAGGAAGGAGTGTCATCGGTGGAGCACAACGACATTTCAGAAACAGCAGAGGCCAAGGCCAAAGGCACCAGAGGCAGTGGACTTAGGCCATGGGACGGAACCAAGAAGCCAGGCTGGAACCAGAGGCCCAGGCGAGACCAGGAGACAGAGCAGAGTGCCAAGATAATGAGACTGAGGCCCAGCAGTCACAGGCCTCCGGGCCCACAGAGGGTGAGGTCGGGGAACCGGGGGCTGGGGACCGGAAAGTGACTTAGCTGCGGGCTGGAGGTGCTGCTGTGGACTGTAATCTTACTGTTTGATGATCCTGGAGTCTGGTAGCCTGTGAACTTCCCTAACAAATCTCTATAATCGTGAGTTTTGTCCCTAAAATGATCAAACCCAGCACGTAAGTAGAACGCCAGGGGATTGTCAGAGTGGTAACGACCGATGGAGGGTGGAGGCAGGTCTGACCTCCTTGTGGGGATAGGAAGCCAGCGGTCCGATGTGGCCCTCTGTGCCATTCTCTCACCAAAGCTGCACATATTCACGGAAGGAGACTACCACATCTCTCTCCTGCCGAGTGGCTCATGGCCACGCACTTATCCACTGCATTACAAAGACTCCGAGTACCAGATGAGCTACATGATTTATCAAGTCAAGGAAATTCTCCAAAATAAGATTTCAAAAATCTTTCTTAAAAAAAAAAATTCAAAACTTTAGCTTCAAAATTTTCAAAATTTTTTTTCATGATATACAGTAGAAGTCTTGTCATTTTGCTTAAAAATGGTGTTCAAGCAACAGAGGTTAATTCTTGTTTGAAAGTGGATAGGAAATTTATTT